GTTAAAAAAATTTAAATTTTTTTAAAAAATTAGCAAATTTTTTTAAAGGGTTTTGTTGTAATAACCCCTGTCAAATCGGAAATAAATTTATCCAGGAGTCTTTACCTTGGCAGTCGATATAACAGAAAATTTGATGTGATATAGGTCTACATAATGAACTTCTGTAACTCCCAAAAACTCGGAATTGTACGTAACACTCTACACAAGGTGGGAAAATGTCGCTAAATAATCCCAGGGCGGGAGTCAAAGGTTAACTATCAAAGGTCCGCTTCTAATTAACAATGAACTTTTTTTTTAAATTTCAACGCACCTTGTACAAAAAATTTAAATCTCACCGACAACTGATACTTTATCGAGTTTTATCTGTTGCATTAAATTAAATAGCTTGTCATGAATTCAAAGCAGTTTATAACTCGGCAATAAAGCTATATAAAGCTACTTAATCATTATTTTAATTTTTCCCGAGCCGGGGCGCAATACATATCTAGAAGTATAAATTTCATTAAAACCAGCTTGACATCATTATAAAAACAAGACAAGATTAAGTTAGAGCAAATAAAATTCATAAGAAAACAACATTGACCTTGTTTATGTCTTTTTATGTCAGTGTAAACTTTTACGGGTGATGTATCAAATATCAATTAAAAAAAGTATCCTATGCATGTAGCAGAACACTTTTGATTCTAACCCTACCAATTTTCTGTCTTATTAACATTTTTTTTTCTTAAACTTATGTTTTCTTAGTTCAATTTGAAAGAAAATATTGATTATGCATGTAAGAAAGATGTTTGGGATATAGGGTAAATTGGAAATGTGTAAATACACGGAGACAATGTCAGAAACCCCATCACATAATATTGATACACAACAGCTTTAAATTAAAAACTTTTAAATTAATGTTACGAAAAATTTTATACAGACAAATTCTTACGGAACCTTACATAAATTTCAGGCATGCATCAATTACTATGCGCATTGGCATTTTTTTTTTCGTACATGTAATTCACATGTAAACAATATCTCATTCATAGTGAAATGAAATGCATGGGAATCTGTTTTTGTCTCTACACCAACGGCCCTTTTACTGATACCATAACCTTTACTTCAACATTAAACTCCTAACAACAAATCTGTGTCGGAATTTTATAAGAAGTCGTAACAAAGGACTTAATTAAATTCACTGAAAAAATATTTACATATTTTGCATTACATCTGTTGAAGGGAGAAAGTTTAAAGCCCTTGTAATACAAAGTTTACGAATCCAGATATTAAAATACAAGTCGGAAACATAGGGATAACTAAAATGGATTTAAATTGTTATTCAATGCAGCTTAATCTGGGAAGTATGCATTGAATGGCCAGTCATTTTTCATATGCACACAGATGGATTGCATTATTTTTTTAATCAACCATCCGTGATATACATGTACGTACTACGTACTGTATTTTAAAATTTAAAAAAATCAAAATCTTTTTACTTCTTAGTAATATTGAACCAGCCAGTGTCCCCGAGATTTCAACTTAAGTATACATAAGTAATTCATTTCATAATTAAATGGGGTTAACAATAGGTCAGCATACTTAACAAACGATAAAATAAAAACTAATTCCCCAGATTTCACACATTTCAGTATTGACTACATTATCCTCCCAGTCTACCTATATTTGACCCGACTGTGGCGTTAAATTAACATCTCGGTAGACAAGAGAGGAAAGCGTTCCTCATTTTGTACACAGTCCAGATTTACGGCGGCAAGGCAGGACCAAACAAACACTGAGCATCATTTTGTTTTTTTTTTTCAATGAATGTGAAAAATAATAAATTGCAGTGGCGGAGTTAGACGGGGCGGGAGAGGGCACCTTTTATGTTTAAAATATACACAAGATTAAATAAATAATTTTTTGGCACGGCTGTGGGTCCTTACCCCGATCCAAAATCCCCCCCCCCCCTCTTTTCAAGATTCCTGGATCCGCCACTGAATTGTACATTCCGATGAGGACATATCGGGAATTTGTATTTCAAATCATTTTGTTTACAGTTACATGTAGATCATAAAATCTCCATTATGGTTTTTTATACCCCCCGCTTGAAAAACGGGAGAGTATATAATAATCGGTATGTCCGTCCGTCTGTCTGTTACGCTTTGGGGTACCCATCTCTTATCCGCAACTCCTTTCATACCACAAAAGATTGCTTTTGTGCACCTATTTTTACTTTTTGATCTGACATATATTTTGGGTTTTCCAGAGCAAAACATGGACACTGCCATTATATTCATATTGAAGGCGGGGGTATCATTTAGTGAGCTCATTGCTCACAGTACCTCTAGTTTAACTTTACATGTATCACTTGAATAGCCTGATAATCATTGAAATAAAACTGTAGACAACACGTAACAAGAGGCCCATGGGCCACATCGCTCACCTGAGTAACTTGGGTGATGAAGTTCTTTACCCGATTTCCCCTCTTGCTATACCTATCATGCCCCCCCCTACACCCTCCCCATTCATGATTTTAATACTTTAGAATCTACACTACCCAAGGATGCTTTCACATAAGTTTTAGCTTTCCTGGCCCAGTGGTTTTTGAGAAAAAGATTCTTAAAAGATTTTTCCTAATTTCTATGTAAAACTTGAATTCCCTATTGTGGCCCCACCCTACCCCTGGGGGTTATGATTTTAACAATTAAATATCTACTCTACCCCAGGATGCTTACACATAAGTTTCAGCTTTCCTGGCCCAGTAGTTTTTGAGAAGAAGATTTTCAAGTATTTGTTCTATATATTTCTATGTAAAACTTGGATTCCCTATTGTGGCCCTGCCCTACCCCTGGGGTCATGATTTTAATAATTTAATATCTACTCTACCCCAGGATGCTTACATATAAGTTTCAGCTTTTGAGGCCCGGTGGTTCTTGAGAACAAGATTTTTAAAGATTTGTTCTATATATTTCTATGTAAAACTTGAATTCCCTATTGTGGCCCCGCCCTACCCCCGGGGGTCATGATTTGAACAATTTAGAATCTACACTACCCCAGGGTGCTTCCACATCAGTTTTAGCTTTCCTGGCCCAGTGGTTCTTGAGAAGAAGATTTTTAAAGATTTGTTCTATACATTTCTATGTAAAACTTGAATTCCCTATTGTGGCCACGCCCAACCCCCTATGGTTTTAACAATTTAATATCTACACTACCCAAGGATGCTTCCACATAAGCTTTCCTGGCCCTGTGGTTTTTCACCAGAAGATTTTTAAAGATTTGTTCTATACATTTCTATGTAAAACTTGAATTCCCTATTGTGGCCACGCCCAACCCCCGGGGGTCATGGTTTTAACAATTTAATATCTACACTATCCAAGGATGCTTCCACATAAGTTTCAGCTTTCCTGGCCCTGTGGTTCTCGAGAAGAAGATTTTTTAATGATCCCACCCAATTTTTGTCTTTTCTTGATTATCTCCCCTTGTAAGGGAACCTAGCCCTTCATTTTTACAATTTAAACTCCCCTTCCCCTAAGGATGCTTTGTACCAAGTTTGGTTAAAATTGGCCCATTGGTTCTTGAGAAGAAGTCGAAAATGTGAAAAGTTTACGGACGGACGGACGGACGGACGGACGACGGACAAAATGTGATCAGAAAAGCTCACTTGAGCAGGTGAGCTAAAAACCTTAACTTTATATTTATAATGAGATGAATACATATAAATGAACATTTTTAAAGTTACAATAATCTAGGATTTTGTGTGGCGGATTTCAGCGGGGTGGATCACAACATAAATCCAGTCTGTATCTCCGGATAACACTGTCTCTACATGCGGAGAACACGTGAGTCCCGTCACACTTGACTGAATACACGGGGTCACAGTCTGACCCCGTCAGCTCCACTCGAGCGTGAAACTGAGAGTCTGTATAAAAACAGGAACCATCACCTAAAAGAAAAACCGGGATATAAGAATTTTAGTGTATCTTTCAGGTCATGTGACGAACCTGTTCATACGTTTTAAGAAAATTGGATCACAAAAACAAAATATGCATTTAGCGCAGTTTTTACAATTCAACTACACTGTAAAGCAAGTGAAGAACTGCAAAATATGAGTGCCAGAATACAAAGGTTGTACTTGTATGTATGATTTGTTTTTAGTTTTTACGCAAGCGTCTAAAGTGTGGAATGTTAGCCCCCCACCCCCTTTAATTAAAAAAAAATCTAATTTCCCCATCAATCACATCTACATGTATATCATTATGTCATTCTATGCAAACAATTTGTATGTTTTCTTATGTTTAGAAAATGGCCTTTACTTAGTATAATAAAAAAATACACTACTCGTACTTGTGTACAAATATGATTAAATGATGACTCTCCAACAACAAGAAGGTAGTTTGACCAGGGACATATATACATTTACTAGTTTATACGTCCCTCGTTTGACATTTTAGGCACTGTAGATCACCAAATTTTCGAGACACCTTATTTTCGCAAGATAGTCATTGACTCCTTATAAGCGAGACAAAATTTTCACGAATTGTGGTTATTGCTCTATATAATCTTAATGAATACTATTATACGCCAGAATTAAATTTTCGCGAGCACAAGGTCTCGGGTAATTACGCGAAAATAAAGTTCTTGCAAATAAAAAGTGATTTACAGTATTTTTACTACATAGAGTATAGATTAAATTCAGATACTATAAATATCTCATTGACTCAATAACTCATTGTCTTTAGACAGAACACCATAGACATCTTATAGAATTGAGGGAAATTATAAAATCAGTCATCTAAATATGATTACAGTGGCTTACCTGTGCCAGTAAAGAACCCTCCATTGTATGGACAGAAACACAACACAGCAGAACGGCTATCCTTCCATTCCTTCAGAGGAACTCTGAAGAAAAATTTAAAATTAACTACATTAAAACTTTTTCTTAAGAATTCAGAAGCAGAACTTTAAGATTCAGAATGAAAGATTTATAAATTAAAGTACAAAAATAGACCTTATGATGGAATTTGATTTTGTTACAACACCTGTAAACCTTAACATATGTACACTGTAATTCCAGAGTTTTAAAAAAAACTGCAATTGTGAAAAGAATTCAAGGGAAGCAACTCCAATATGGAATATTCATCCTTATTTATAACTAGCTAGCCTAAGTAGATAAACCTGCTTATTTTCACCATAACTGTCAGATTTATCTTCCTTTATTTCTGAGTGAGCAAAATGTGCATAGTATTGCAGAATTCCTCTACAATCATGTATTTTCTTTATGTAGAACTTTCTTTAGGTTTATAACAACAGTTTTGTTTTACATTACAAACCTGATATTGCGTAGGTCTAGGACTGTTATGTGTCCGTCCTGTGTTCCTATGATGGCTGTAACGTCTGACAGAAACTGACAACAGTTGACAGGGCCGTGGGCAGGAAACTCAAATACCTACAAAATACAATAGGTAAACTCAGAAACCTACAACACACAGCATTGGTGAATAAATATCCGCTACAAAAAAATCACGAACACCATTTATAGAATACACCATCATAAGAACCCATGATTTCCTTCTTCATTGCACAGAGAAAACCCTTGTGTTCTGCCAGTGAGAATATATGCATGTATGTGCATGTTTCCTTGGTACAGTGTATACTGTATAACTTATTGGGTCATTCATTCCTGGCTTAATTACACATATTGCCACATCCTCAGGGAAGGGTTTGTGATCAATCCTTCTCCTCTGAATGTGACATTACCAGCTTAATTAAGTATGCATACATGTACTATGGTAGAAATACATTTTTCCGTGTGGTATTAATTTTCGCTATGAAGGCAGTCACAAATTTTCTGTGGAAACTTGTCCAACTGAACCTAATATACTTGTTAGGCATGTAGTGCAAGTCTAAGAAATCACATATTAAATTTCGACCCGCAGATTAAACAGAAATAGAGATTCCACGAAATTTTGATCCCATGGAAAAAAAATACTTCTATAGTATGTGAAAAACAACTACATGTACATTGTATATACCTTTTTCCGAGTCTGGAGTCCGTAACCTTGTACTGTAGAATTCTCACAACCAAGTAGGAGTAGCTTCCCTTGTGTGCCAACCTCTCTATCAGCTGAAAACAGAAGACATTTAAAAAATAATTAAATCCACTTAACTTTTACAATTTTTTGTCTTTTATAGTTTTTGAGGCAATGATTTAAAAGGTAAAGGGACAAAGGCCCAAGTGTATAAATTATTACACTGTAGTATGATACAGTTTACTATACATGCTATAGCAACCTTGAAAATTTTAATTATAAGCATACTGCATGTAAGTATATATACAATATATGTAAGTAATAGTATTTTCTGAGACTTCGGTTACTGAACTTACTGAAACTTGAAATTCGTTTCACGGGTCAATGATTGCACTCATTTAAGACTCTTTAATAAAACAAAATTGTTGGTCCTCTGTCATTTAATGTCTGTGAGTTTACTCATCAATGCTTAACTTACTTTAATATAATGCCTGCTAGATTGCTGGACCCCTCTCCAAGACTCATTGTGTATACTTAATTATAAAAGCTAAACGTTGTATGCTTATTATTATGCTTGTACAAGACTTGGTGAGAATACTGATTTATAAAAGCTACATGTATACCAGTAAGTACACTCATTTGTAAATAAGATAAGTCTTGATTGCTGGACCCTGACTCCCGACTCAGTACCTTTAGTTAGTTTTAGATGCTACACTAGATAAGCCTCCTTACTTGTTGGCTGGTCCCCGGCCTCCAGACTGAGTGAGTTCTCTACATTCTGGAGACAGCAGCAGTTGACCTCACCTCCGTTCTCGTCGTACGACCTGAGACACGACTGTTGACCCACGTCCCACAGCCTGGCTGACCCGTCTTTACCACACGACACCACATTCCTCCCTCGGTCCACCATTGCAGTGTCGTTTATTGCTACAAGAAAGAAAGGTGAGGTGTGCCAATCATTATTCATAAATGTATGGACTACATTTTGCAATCTTTGAAAACACAAACACATATTTCATATAATTATGTCTGCAGATTATCTGATTAATGATCTCCTTTTGATATGAGTTACATGTCCTGTGTCCTGTTAAGGTGGCAGCACACATTCCTGTCTCCTCTGACCAGATTTTTGCCTTACCTGCCCTGTGCCCTCTTAAGGTGGCAGCACACTTTCTGGTCTATGCTGACCAGATTTTTGCCTTACCTGACCTGTGCCCTGTTAAGGTGGCAGCACACTTTCCAGTCTATGCTGACCAGATTTTTGCCTTACCTGCCCTGTGCCCTGTTAAGGTGGCAGCACACTTTCTGGTCTATGCTGACCAGATTTTTGCCTTACCTGACCTGTGCCCTGTTAAGGTGGCAGCACACTTTCCAGTCTATGCTGACCAGATTTTTGCCTTACCTGCCCTGTGTCCTGTTAAGGTGGCAGCACACTTTCCAGTCTATGCTGACCAGATTTTTGCCTTACCTGCCCTGTGTCCTGTTAAGGTGGCAGCACACTTTCCAGTCTCTGCTGACCAGATTTTTAGCTGCATGTCTGCCCCTCCACTGAGGACCACGAGGCCCGAGGGGAAAAATCCACAGGTGTAAACATCACCGTAGTGACCAACAAATTCCCTCTATAGATAACAAAGAAAAGCCATTACTGATGTAGACAAACAAATACAAAGAAGAGTGAATTTTGAGGAAAAATATCTTAGCAATGTTCCAGGGTAGGCAAGAGATATAAAAAATCATTACCATCAATTTAGGTGGGAAAAATATATCCCTGTAATACTATAAACACTTACTATCTTAAATAATGATCAAAATATAGAATAGGGCAATCAAGGATCTATTAAATAGCTAGTCTGCTAATCAGCAGCAAATCAATAAGTACCTAGAGAGAAAATTATTTTTTTTTTAAATTGCAATTTTTGAGTGAACATGGTGAACATGCTTATTACAGCAAAACTGGGGTATAACGAAGTCATCGGGACCTTCGAAATTACTTCGCTATATTCCTAATTCATTATATCCGCATAAAAATACATTAAATTTATATAGCTGGGGATCCAAGATGACTTCACTATATCCCAAAATTCGCATTATCCGCGTTCGTACTAAACGAGTTTTGCTGTACATAAAACTAAAAAAAAGCAAATATTAAAGGGTAAATATACGTAAAACAAGAGTAACCTACCCTGACTTCTCCTGTGTCTGTCTGCCATAGTCGTAACTTTCCTTCTGAGTCAGCTGATACACCAAGTCCTCCCTCTGTAACGTCAAGACTGACCACCTTAAATATACAAATATCACAACTTACCACCTTATAGTGTTAAATCTAGACCCTAAAAAGGGCATGGTAATCAAGGAATCAAAAGGGCACTTTGTCGCGACAGGATCTCACGAGGGCACTTTTAAAACAAATGTTTTAAAATGTCTTTATAAAGATTATATTAATCATTAATTTTTACATACTTTAACATGTTTAATTACTCTAATATCCTTTCATATTTATATTTAAACAAGTAATTTAAAGATAAATTCATATATCTGTATTCCATTCATTTTTTTTTAATAACAACACAATTAGCACACCTGGGCTGACATGACAATTATTGAAACAAAAAAGGATATAAAAAAGGCATTTACATCCTATTTCTTTAATCAAAAAAGTAGTAAGGTTACACTTGAGTAAGTAATGGTATTAATTTAGCTGAAACATCTTCAAAAATTATTAAAGTTTGGAGGTATGATTTTTTTTTTTACCTGCTTGGACTGTATTATTTGTGTACT